AGGAAGAGACACCAAGAGACACATGCTGCTGGGAAAGAGACTGTTGGCTGAGAGACGGCAGGCTAAGAGAGACTGAGTATTGTTCCTGAACTTGAATTGTAGCCTGGTGCTTCCCTAATAAACCCCATAATCTGTGAGTTCTGTGTGGCCACTGCAGTGAATTATCGAACCCGGGAGAAAGGTGGTGGGTGCTATGGGAGGAACAGTTGGTGTCAGGGGTGATGAAAGAGCTGGAGGGAGGCAGCATGTCCAGCCTCACAGGAATAGGCTTTGGGCATTCATGGTGATTCTGTCTTCCTCTTGTGGGATTAGAGGAGGTCACAAGATGCAGCCTCCCTGCCCCTTTAGCACTCTCTAAATGGGGACATGGTGATAAAAGCAGAATAAATTTATTTTTTAAAATAAACTAGCTATTATGTACTGTATTTAAGAATTCCTACCTACTTGCATATCTAATAAATATTCATTTTAAGCTAAAAGGAATCATCGTGGTTGCATATACACTTTCTCCTTGTATTCCCAAATATTATGGGGCCCATTATATCACCTCATCTAACAGGTAAATGATATATTTATATATAGCTAGATTTGGCTTTTTCACCTGAACAGCAGCTAATTTAGGTTAGATTCCTCATTAGTGTCAGACAGTGATGGAGCTGAGCAGAGTCAGGATTATATTTATAAATATCAAACTCAAAAGTCAGGTATGTAAAGATAACTGTCATCAGCATGATAAATAATGACAATTATGACACTTTTATAGTACTTATTATGTGCCAAGTGTGATTCTGAGATCTTACCTATGGCAACTTATTTAATCCTCAAAAGAATTCAAGGCATGTAGTATCATTATAATGTTATTTTACAGGTGAGAAAACTGAAGCACACAAAGGTTAAATAACTTATACAAGGCATAGCTAGTAAGTTACAAGGCTGGGATTCAAATTGAGAAGTGTAACTTCAGGCCCAGGCTCTTAACCACAATGTATTACCGCTTTCTAAATTTCCAAAACATGGTAATAGCCCATTTATCATCAGTTTTCCACAAATGCATTTAAATGTGTTCAAAACTCAATAAAACCATTTGTATTTTTATCCTGCATGTTGCCTCTTTTTGAAAAAATTCAAAAAAGTCAGAAAAAATTTACTATCTCAACAGGTTGAAAGTATGAACTTTAGGGTCAGACAGACTTGGGTTAAAGGTCTGACTCATCTGCATGAGTAATTTTTGATCTTGAGGAAGTTATTTAACTTCACTGTAGAGGCGTAACTCGAAGATACTGTGGGTTCAGTTCCAGAACACTGCAATAACACTTTATGTTGCCAATAAAGCAAGTTCACACGAATTTTTTGGTTTCCCAGTGCATGTCAAAGTTATATTTATACTGTACTGTAGTCTATTAAGTATGCAATAGCTCTATGAAAAAGTTTGAAATACTGTGAGAATTAACAAAATGTGATACAGACATGAAGTGAGCACAGGCTGTTAAAAAAAAATGGAACCAATAGACTTGCTCCATGTAGGGTTGCCACAAACTTTCAAATTATGAAAAACACAGTATCTGCAAAGCACAATAAAGCAAAGTGTGATTATACTTTAGTTTCTGCATTTGGAAAATGGGGATTAGAGGACCAATTATAAGAGTGTTTTAAATACTGAATGCAGACACTTAGCATAGCACCTGGAACATAGTAAGTACTTGCAGAGTAGTAAGTTACTTAGTATAGCTTTTCTACCCATAAGTCATTGTAAACTCAGTGGTGGAATGAGCAACTGAGGAGCTTCTGATTGTAAATGTTATCCACCTGGGATATTTCTGTTGGGCGTGGCACAGCACAATGTTATGGGAGGCTCACTCTCAAGTGCTTAGAGTTCTGATGCTATGATTGACTAGTTTGACCACTCTGCCAGGCTCCAAAGGAGGCCTCGTAGAGACAGAACTCTCTCGGACTGCTGGTTGAGGAAGAGGACTGCTGGTTGAGGAAGACGTGCTGCTGAAAGAGACACACGCTGCTGAAAGAGACACACGCTACTGAAAGAGACACGTGCTGCTGGAAAGAGATGCAAGAGACATTCATTGCTGAGTAAGACACTCTGCTGGGAGAGACACTGTGAGAGACTTGGCTGAGAAACAGCGGGCTGGGAGAGAGACTGTTTTTCCTGGACTTGAATTGTAGCCTGGTGCTTCCCTACTAAACCCCATAATCTGTGAGTTCTGTGTGGCCACTGCAGTGAATTATCGAACCCAGGAGAGAGGTAGTGGTGCTTAGGGAGGAACAGTTGGTGAAAGGGCTGGAGGGAGGCAGCATGTCTCGCCTTGCAGTAATAGGCCTTGGGCTATTGATGGTGATTCTGCCTTCCTCTTGTGGGGTTAGAGGAGGTCAGAACATGTGGCCTCTTTGCCGTTTTTACAGTACTGAATAAATGTATTAGGAGCTCTGGTGGTGTAGTGCCTAAGGCATTTGACTGCTAACCAGAAGGCTGGCAGTTCAAACTCACCAGCCACTCCTCAGAAGGAAGATTGGGCCATATATTTCCATAGTGATACTGCCTCAGAAACCCAAAGGGGTCACTATGAGTTGGGTCCAACTTGACAGCAGTGAGTGAGTAGTAGTAGTAGGAGTAGCAGTACTCGTAGCAGGTCTTTTATTTGTTTTGAATGTACCTGTTTCAAACTTCAGGTAACTTGCTTCTAACTCCACAATACTAGAATCTGATAAACAGATTAGATCAATACTTTCCAAAGTTAAGGCTACAATGTCTAAAAATCATCAAAGAAATGTTTCCTAATAATATATGTTGGTAGTTATGTGTTTGGTGGCAGCAAAAGTAAGAAAATCAATATATATAGTGATAGTAAATGTGGAAAAAGAAAACCTGGTGAGAATTAAAGAATTCATATTTCAGATATCAGAAGCTGAGAATTCTTCAAGTCAAGATTGTGCCATGAAATTACTTCCAACAGGCTACAAAAACCACACATCCTATATTTCTGAATTCTGTCTCTTGAGAAGATTGTTTTATTGAATAATTAGAGTGAAAATGTTTCACAGAGATAAGAATACATGCAGAGAAAAAGCATTCAGAAATCAGTAGCAATTCAATTTATATTTTTTACCTGAAGGTAAGGTGGTGGGAAAATACTTACTAGTATCTGGAGTTTTCTCTTCAGATCTGCCAAATAAAAATTCATATTTGGCCTTGGCAACATTCTGGGAATGTGCTGATGCATTGTTAACCCAAACAAATGTCTGTGCCTGGAAAATTAGAACAAAATAAAGACATCACTAAAAATATATCTTTAAAAAAAAAAAAAAAATACTATCCACAACAGAATAATTATACAATGATGATTTATCAACTTGATAGAATGCTATACAGACACTAAAAATGAAA